TAGAAGGTTGCGCCGCGGGGCAGAAAGCCTGGGGTTATCACGCGGGGAGGGTCTGGAGGCTGCCAAGCGCCGTGTTTGGGAACAGCCTCTGCCTTGTCCTCGGTGGCTGTTTTGTTGATCACGGCCTTGGGGCAGGAGATGATGTCCCTCAGGGCTGCTTTGATAAGGAGGGACGCTACAGATCGGGAAGCCACAGAGAGCCTGAAATCCGGTGTGTTAAAGGGTGGATTAAACTCACGGTCATTAGATTAATGGGATTAAGCCTGTGAGTCAAGAGGCTGTTTTGCACCTGGCTCGGCACTGCCAGGAGCACCGGCTGGAGCAGCTCAGGCAGCTCAGTAGCAGCTAAGGAGCCCCTTGCTACCTGGAGTAACTGCAGAGCAATGCTTGCAACCCCTCTCCGCACCCGGCCATAGCAATGGGGACTTGGGTACTGTGCAGGGGAATAGGGGAGAGTCCCAGCTCCTCACGCAAGGGGACTGGGAGCTGCTGGGAGCTGCTGGGCAGGGATCGGCATCTTCCACCCTGCTCGGGAAGGGCTGCACAAACCCAGCTCCTCTTTGGCTTGCAGCTGGAGGGGGCTTGCGTGGAGCAGGTTGGACTGATGGCTGGTGAGGCTTGGGAAGGGGTAAAAATTGGATGTAAAGGCTGCCTTGAAGAAAGCGTGCGGGATCAGGGCTGTGCCGCAAGGATGATGCACTCTGGCACATCCCGGGTGTTGGAGGTTCGTGGAACTGGGCAGCTCTGCAGGTCCTTCACGCAAAATACGTGCCCATTCCTCCTCGGTGAGAGGAGCGGTGGCGATGCCATGCGTGGCGATGCCGTGTGTGCTCTGCAGGAGGCTGAGCCGGGAGGGAGAGGCTGGAGGGGCTCCAGGAGCTGTCTGGAAGCAGGCAGCACCCCGTGCTGGTGCGTGGACCCCCATGGTAGTGCATTCCTCCCCGTGCCAGTGCCTGACCCCCCGTGCTGGTGTATCCCCCCCGTGCTGGTGTATCCCCCTGGCACGCATGGAGGAGCAGCATCCCCAGCATCAGGAGTCATCCATCGCAGAGCAGTGGAGATCCATCCACCCATGTCGGGGGCGTGGGAAGACTCCAGCCTCCGTGATGCAGAGCCGTGGGCCTCTGCTGTGTTTCCAGACCTCACAGCTGCGCCTGGGTGTGTGTTTGGTTTTGCAGCACCAGGACCAGCTCCATGCAGCTTGCTGTAGGTGACCCTGCTTCGGCAGGAGGGTTGGACTAGATGACCCACAGAGGTCCCTTTCAACCCCTACTATTCTGTGATTCTGTGGGACCTTCTGCTGCAGCTCCAGGCTCTGTGGCTGCTGGGCTCTGCCCTGGGAGCGGCTCTGCCCTGCCAGCGAGCACATTCCCTGCAAGCCCGTGGCAATGTGCAGACCATGTGAATAAATATTCAGAAAAATGTAGGCGGATGCAATAATATCTGTGCCCTAGCAGGTCTCCGTGCTGGTTGCATAAGACATCGTGTATTATTTCCATCCCTGCGTCCTTTGCCTCCCCAAGCAGGAGAGCTGCCAGCAGCGCCGGCGACCTGTGGGCAGCGGCAACAAATTTCTCTGTTGCCAAAAGGTGTTTTCTGCTTACTGCGCCGTGGCTCCGGGCAAAGAGCGGCTCAGCGGGGCGAGCTGAAACGCCTGGATGGAGCGGAGGGAGGGGGACGCGCGGTCCCCGTCCCCTGTCCCCACGCTGACTCAGCGCCTGCTGCTGCCCTGTTTCAGAGGCAGGTTTCCAACCAGGGAGCGTGGCTCGCCCCGCCCGGCCCTTCCCGGCCCCGGCATCCTCTGCGGATCGTTTCGGGAGCCTGCGAGGTTTGCGGCCCCGGCCCCGCGCTCCCGGGGGGATCTGTGCAGGCTGAGTCAGGTTCCCCCCATTAGATCAGATCACATCTCTCCAGGAACCATATGTCTTGCAGAAAACCCCTCCTACAGCTCAGGGGTCAAGCCCCGTCCCAGCTCCATGTTCCTGCCCGCTTGGACACCTTGCTGCGCTCCGGAAGACCAGAGCCTGCCTCCAGATGTGGGACCCTGTGTCTCTTTTTAGAGAGGTCCCATACTTGGGAAGGGCTGAAATGGGCTGTCCTCCGTGGAAATCTTGCAAAAATTGATTGCAAAAGTGGGTTTTTTTGTTGACAAACGCTATTTCAGCTGCTGTGGGAAGAGAGCAGAAGAGGTGTCGAGCGGGTCCTGGTCCAAGAGGAACCGGCCAGACCTCTTCTGGTGGCAGGCTCGGGGCTCATCAGACTCAACGGCAAAGAGTATTTGCATTTTCCAAACGGTTTCTTCATGTCTCTGAGTGGCTGAAAGAACATTGCAGGCAAACTGTAATTTGAGCAATTAATAAGCAACTGAATTTATTGCGTCTCTCCTTGAAGTAACATCTGCTGTACCCCAGCGGCAACGAAGACGCAAGCAGAGTGAGCCCTTGTCGCACCGGCTGCCCGGGTGACGCCGAGCTGCGTCGAGGATGGATCCAGACCGGAGTTACCTGCGCAGAAACCACCGCTGGCTTCTCCTCCAGCGCTGTTGGCTCCAGCTGAGGGATGTGGGGGAGAGCTGGCAGGAGCCCACTGAGGTTACACCGCAGTTGTGTTCCCAAGGGTTTGATCTTGGAAATAATTTTCTTATCTGAGCATATCTTAAGTTGAGACTCTGAAGTCTTCAGGCCCTTTGGATGGGAAGCTGTCTTCTGCAATTTATCACATGCTTTGAGGTTTGGGTTTCACATGAGCTCGCCGGTGATGCCCGTGTACTGCTGCATTTCACAAGTGAAACGGTGAATTTGCACCTCTTCAGGTGGTTAATAAATGACGACGCCAGCTTCTTCTGATGATGGTTGTACATGGAAGCTTTGTGCCTGTGAGCCAAACGCTGCCAGATCTGCAGGCATTGCTCAATTGCAACATTTGTCCTCATGGCTTGATTGAAAACCTCCTCTGAGGCACCAGAATCCATGGCTGTGGCTCAGTGCGTGTAGGAATACGCACTGTCAGCATCCTGTGTTAGGGTCTGGAGAACAAGTCTGATGAGGAGCGGCTGAGGGAGCTGGGGCTGCTCAGTCTGGAGAAGGGGAGGCTGAGGGGAGACCTCATCACTCTCCACAGCTCCCTGACAGGAGGGTGTAGTGAGGCAGGTGCTGATCTCTGCTCCCAGGTAACCAGCGACAGGACGAGAGGCAATGGCCTCAAGATGCGTCAGGGGAGGTTTAGATTGGTTATTAGGAAAAAATTCTTCACTGAAAGAGTGGTCAGGCACTGGACCAGGCTGCCCAGGGCAGTGGTGGAGTCCCCATCCCTGGAGGGGTTCAAAAAATGTGTAGATGTGGCACTTGGGGACATGGTTATCAGGCTTGGTGGTGTTGGGGTGATGGTTGGACTTGGTCATCTTGGAGGTCTTTTCCAACCTTAATGATTCTGTGATTCTATGATTCAAGCAGTGAGCCGGGCAGCGGGATGTTGCCCAGATCTGCGGTCCGGGATGGGGTGACCGTCCCCCGTTGGAGGTGCACAGAGGTTGGCTGCCTCCCTTGCAGCTGGTCCAGTGTCTTCGTGACATTTAATACCCATGCCAGTGTCACCTGTAGCCACACTGGTGCCATCTCCAAGACCACAGGAGCTCCGTGCAGAGCACGCTGTCAGCTGGCTGGCAGGGGCCTGGCTGCTGCTGGCTGCGTTCCTGCCCTCGGGAATGCCCCGGTGGCCCCCCGCCCGGGGGAGCAGCAGCTACGAGCGGAGGGACGCTGCCAAAAGGCTCCTGGATGAGCCATTTGGGAGGGCAGGCAGAATTTGAGGGGGAGTGATAATTTTGAAACTGAAATGTCATGCCTTTATTTTTTTTTCCCCCCCTTCTCTTGAACAGAAGTTGGCGTCTTGGCAAAGCAGTACCTTGAGCGAGGCCTTCTGGTGCCGGACCACGTCATCACGCGCGTGATGATGACGGAGCTGGAGAAGCGGCGAGAGCAGCACTGGCTGCTCGACGGTGAGTGCGCTGCCGGCGTGCCCTCTGGGTGGGAAAATCCCAGCCCCCTTCAAAACATTATTTTGCTGCTCATGAGACGAGCAGCAGTGGGTTCGCCAGAGCTGCTGCAGCCGTTGGCGGGGAAGCCGCGTGCCATCAGCCATGGTGCATCGCTGACGGTGGCCCGGGAGCCGGCAAGTGCCGGTGGCAGCTCTAGAAACTGCTTCTAGACTGAGCCAGTCAACTTAGGATAGACTCAGGCTTTTGGAGAGCTCTCAGGCTCTGGATAGAGAAAATACAGAATAGTTTATAACTAAAACAAGTCTGTGATCTAGTGCCGTGGACCAGAGGGCTGGTGGCCACTTGGCCCTGGGGCAGCCCCAGAGGAGGGGTGGCTTGTGCTGGGGCTTGGGGTCTGGCCGAGCTCCCCAGTTCAAGAAAGATGAAGAGCTACTGGAGAGAGTCCAGCGGAGGGCTACGAGGATGATGAGGGGACTGGAACATCTCCCCTACGAGGAGAGGCTGAGGGAGCTGGGCTTGTTCAGCCTGGAGAAGAGAAGGCTGTGAGGGGGCCTTATAAATGGTTACAAATAT